TTGAGACAGGGTCTCTCTGTAGCCCCAGCTGGCCTGGAGCTCACTATGTAGACCAGGCTGGCCTTGAACTCACAGAGATCCACCTGCCTCTGCCTCCCAACTACTGAGACTTTACAGGCATGTGCCACCACACCCGGCTTAGTCAAGGTTTTATAAACAATAACAATGGCTAGGGAAGGGAGACTCTCCAACCAGACAGGCTGCCTGCACGTTGAGCAGGGAGCTGCAGGGATGCAGCTTTTATGAGTCACCACCCATGCTGGGTTAGACTTTCAATGATGCAGCTGCCTTTGAGTAACTCAGACTCCTGTAGGAACCCCTTACGCATGTTCCTGTAACTAACCCAATAAACTCACTGACTGACCAAGCTACACTCAGATAGAGATAGAATAATCTCTTTGGTCATTCATTGGTGCCCTATCTGAGGTGAATAGACTTTGTTCACATCTCTCTATGAAAAGTCATACCATGTATGAAAAGCCATACATTGCCTAGATCTAGTTACTTTGGTGCAAGAAGATGCTATTAACAATTATTTCAGGATGGTAGGCGTAAACAGAACTGTCTCTGGCAAATGTGGATAGAGGCCTCGTCACTTTGAGAGGGTTGAATGCATGAGAAAATGCGTGGCAAGAACTCCCCGGAACAACAGCAACAAAAATGGAATGTGGTATGGTCTGTGCTGAGTGCTTGTACTGAGTTTTGCCTCTCACCACCTTATAGCACAGGACACTCACTCAGAATATGTGTGTTACTATATACGGAAGACAAAGACACCAAACTGCAAAGAGGAGCTAACAGAGGGTATGAAAGGCTGGGTCTTATTTCCTAGCTCTGTCTTTTGGATATGAAACCATGACCAGATGCTAGCATGAATAAACTTCCTGGAAAAAAGAAAACTTCCCTGTCTCAGCTGTCTGCACAAAGCACCTATAATAAATACAGTCAGATCCCTTGAACTGTAGTTACTATCAGTTTTTAGCCACCATGTGGGTGCTGGGACCTGAATCCTGGTCTTCCGCAACAGGGGACCTGAATCCTGGTCTTCCGCAACAGGGGACCTGAATCCTGGTCTTCCGCAACAGGGGACCTGAATCCTGGTCTTCCACAACAGGGGACCTGAATCCTGGTCTTCCGCAACAGCAGTCAGTGTTTCCTAACCACTGAGCAATTTTTCTAGCACCACAAGTGCAATGTCTTATGCAGTTCACATCCTATTTTATCTCTTCTGATCCCTGTATCAAACCCTAGAAGTGTTGATTACTCCATTCCATTCTTTCTGAAGATACAAAATAGAGAGGGTCCACCTAGGGCATACTCAAGACTGCTGACTGTGATTTGAGTCCAGCTTGCCCACCCCAATACTCGGTACCTGGTAATAAGAAGGGCATCCTTGAATATTCAGATAATACTTTAAAGGCAGGTACACAGAGGCAGAAGTTGGGCTGTGAGAATAAAAGATATGGAGAGGGGAAAGTAGAGAAGGGAGAGGAGTTAGTTGGTGAGGCACTTTGGCCTTTCTAGCAGTTCCACACTCTATTTATGCAGGTCTGCCACCTCCTTACAGTGGGTGTTGGAAGGAAATGCATTTCCAAAGCTCCCATGAAGAAGGTTTGTGTCACTGGGAAGGAAAGCCTGCTTCTGTATTTGTGCACTCTGTGAACACACGCCTAACAACAGACATCTGCGAAAGGCTCCTGTGCCTGGAAAACAGAGGGAGGATTTAATTAGCACCACTTCCTCTCCCTCAGGCTGTCTTCTCTGGAAACACTTGGGGAAGAGCAGCACTCTGAGATCAAACTGTTTGAGATCCAGGAAAGAAGGAAACTCTCAGCTCCATTTACATTCTAAAAGCCATAAATAGTGGAAAGTTGAGCCCAGCAGGCCTGATTCAGAATGATTCAAGTTCTGTAACCAAAGTGAGGACTTTACCAAAGGAATAAACCCTTCAACAACTTCCCCAGATGAGAAGTGTAAGCATCTAGGCCTCCCACTCCATTCCTTAGCCCTGACCCTGACAATTACTGCCAATTTAATAAAATGTCCTCTCTTCCCTGCTGGAATATACTGTATATACTGAGAAACTTGAAAGCACATAAATAAAATACCAGTGACAAATCCAACATGAAATAAATCCCCATTGCTTTTGCAGGGATAAATTTGCCTGGCAATAGATCTATTGAGAGCCAGTAGAACTGGAAAAGGTCCTTGTTCCATAAGAGGCCTGATGAATTTACCTCAGCATTTCATGCATGTTAGAAGCAGAAGAGGTACATGGGGAAATACATGGTCAAGGCTTAGAAACAACATGTGTACACTGCTAACCAAATTTTCTCATTCCAGGGAACTCGTGTAATGAAAATTATCTGAAGAAGGAAAAATTGACAATATTGATTGTTTATTCTGAGTGATAATAAAAAATTGAAACCACCTAAATCCTTAATGGTCAAAAAGGCTAAGTACATCCAACTAGTACTGTGCCAACGTCAAAGCACAGCCTTAAGCTACAGCCGCACAAGAATGAAGGACATAGATTCTTGGGTAAGAAATGGAACAACACCAAAAACTTCATAGCAGCAATTGGCATCTGAGGAAAGACTAGGTGGGAACTATTCAGATTTAATGAGAGAATGGGATTATGACTGAATTGTTTTCTAAAAAGTAAATCACTTCAGTGTTGCTTTTGTAATAACATAAATACAGAAATAAATGCCCAATAATTATCGGAGAAGTGCTGAAGGAGAAAAGACATATACCCATGCATTTAATGTCACTTTTAT